GGTTTTTTAAATCACATTCACTTTTAGTTAAAAATCTATCACAAAGAGATAATTAAAAAAGGGTGTGGTTTTAAAATCTCACATTTTTAAGAAAAAATCGTTTCAACAGCTTGGCAATTCCACTGGGGACCTTTTTTAGAGAGTCAGGCCGATAGTCGATTAATTAATTGTCTTTGCAAATGAAAGTTATAAGTTCATTTTAATTTGGTTTTTGATCCCTTGTTTGTTTTAAATTTTGTATGCATTTTAATTTGTAATTTTATTAACTAATAAATAATTGTACTAACGTGTGATTTACATGTTTCAGCTTTTTTATCTTTACTTAGTCTGTTGTTTTTTATCGAGGCAAAGGATTATGAGTTCCCCCACTGTTGCTATAACCTTTCGATACTTAGAGCCTTCTAACCGTGCTCTGTCCTGTTTGGTAAAGGTGAACGCTACGCTTACGTGAGAAAAAGTATTTTTCTCTGTATGGGCTTTAGCAAGTAATCTCTGGGGTACATATGCCTCATGTTTATGAGTGAAACATTGAGTCTCCTTGCATGGACATGGGGAAATGCATCCTCTCGAATTGAACTCGATTCGTTTTAAACCTGTAATGGGTGAGGATTGAGAGCAAAGGATAATTTGGGGACCCTGTTAGTGATCCCAAAACTCTGCCTGTCTTATATCGAATCTTTGTTCGTGATTCTTCAAAAGTTCTAAAGGGGAAACTCATCTAACCTTTACCTCGATTTTATGTATTTATTTTTGCAAGAAGTATGAGAACTAGAAAAGAATGCGGTTAGGATTTTGTGTGAATAACAAAGCATGTGGGTAAGGTTTATGGTATATTTTTTATTTTATTTTATTTGACTATTCATTGTATATACTAACACAGTGTTTTTTTGTTTTGTTTTTTTTCTGCCACTAGTAGAAAAAACCCCTTTAATGACGCGCATTGCACGTCATCTATTGGTGCGGATGACACACATTTTCCTGTCGTTGAAGCCACCGACATGAATTTAAGATGACGCGCAACTGTGCGTCATAAATTTATGACTCACATTTATGACACACATTAATGACGCTCATTGCGCGTCATTGAAACCCCCGTCATAAATGAAGACGACACACATTTGTGTGTCATAAATTTATGACACACATTTATGACTTACGTTGCGTGTCATTGAAGCACACGTCATTAGAAAAGATGACACATATTCTTGTGTCGTGATTGTATGTCGTAAATTATATATATATATATATATGTAAATTGACAAATATCAAACTAAATGACATTTATGCCTCATAATACTAAATTAAATATCATATTATATATAATCAATCCATTTGCATACAATATATTAACATTAAGTTATCAAAAATATTGTAATCATATGTCGATACAAAATATCACGACATAATAAAGTTTTCCACATAAGATACACATTCTTTACGAATATCAAACATGTCGACGTTGCGGGAGATGCAACTCCTCTAGCTTCTTCTACAATTTTGAAGTTGTTTCTTCAGAGTCGAGAACTCTTGAAACAGGCTACGAATGAGCATTGGCTTCAACTGAACTAGTAGGAACATCAGATGCACCAGCTGTTCCCAAACCCTTCCCAAAATTAGAGCTGATCACCTTTGGTTTCCACTCCTTATTTGAACCAACTGCTGATGACATATAGGAATTTACTTTGCATATATTAATCAAGCATCATCTATCTTCAAGTGAGAACATAAAGTAGTCCAAACATTTGTAAAGAGCAAATATTTTCATTTACGGTTATCAAGTCATCACTCATCACTAAGTAATATGAAAAGAACGAAAAATCAAGTAAATTGGTGGTAAAGGTATCTTAAGCTTTAAAAGCTTTACTTTTCATTTCTCACAGTTACACTATTATTTAAGGGGATACTTCTATTTACATATGGGTAATTCACCCATCCTTCTCGGTTTTAATGATGATTTTCATTCAAACTTACAACAAACGTGCTACTGAATTCTATTTCGCTCAGAGGAAAAAGTGATTGATATTCATTTACCAAAATTAGTTATAGATTCCAATGATTATAAGGAGTAACATAGTGGGTCTGAACTCTGAACATCCTTAATCAATTAAACAAATGAGGGCATTCAACTAAACTTTCATGGTCTAAGTGAATTTAGATAAATCCCATCTCTAACAAATAACGCACATATCTTGATAACTTAAGCATCCATGTACAGTCCAGCAAAAACAAAAAAATTAACTTTTTTTTAAATATCAACATTCACATAGACTGCAATAACTTTCATTATATCAGTATGGGATGGGAGATTGTCGAGTGCAAGCTAGACATGCATCATAAATCTTCACTGGACAACTAAAGATTCTAGAACCAATTAACTATTTTTTAAAATTGATATCCACTTCATTGATGAGACCAAGTTGGACTATGTAGCTCCAAACTATTCATCTCAACCCCAATATAAGTCACAAAGAGAAAACATTAAACAAATATCAAGGAATAAACACCCTTTTAAAAAATATATATGTTCCAATAAAGAAACAAAGGCAATATATGCTTGCTTGTAGAGAAGTAACACAACTAAGGAAAAGGAAGAAACTTAAAGGGAGATTAACATATATCTTCGGATGGCTCTGGTCTGTATCTAGCTGTTCTGTATTTCTGCAGTGAAGAGATCGGTTAAAGGGTAATCAAATTCAAGCCTTTGTGCACACATTTAATATATATATATATATATATATATATTAATAACTAATAGAAAAGTCTATGCACCTGCAAATTACTTTTAACATGATAAATTATCAAGCCTTCAACTTTCATAAGCTTCAAAACGCCCTTTGGAGTAGCTCCTGTAAGTTAAAAATACCAAACAAATTAAAACATAACATATTTTGGAAAAAAAGTTTCATGAGAAATGAAAGTAACGCACTTTCACTGCCTCCCAATTGGTTGACAACTTCAATAAAGGCTTCATGAAGTTCTGGTGTCCACTGCATTCGTCATTTCTCACAGTTACACTGTTATTTAAGGGGATACTTTTATTTACATATGGGTAATTCACCCATCCTTCTCAGTTATAATGATGATTTTCATTCAAACTTGCAACAAACGTGCTACTGAATTCTATTTCACTCAGAGGAAAAGGTGATTGATATCCATTTAACAAAATTAGTTATAGATTCCAATGATTATAAGGAGTAACATAGTGGGTCTGAACTCTAAACATCCTTCATCAATCAAATAAAGGAGGGCATTCAACTAAACTTTCCTGGTCTAAGTGAATTTAGATAAATACCATATCTAACAAATAACGCACATATCTTGATATTTAAGTTAGATCGAGACAACTTAAGCATCCATGTACAGTCCAGCAAAAAGCCAAAAATCAACTTTTTTTTGGGTGTATCAAAAGGATTATAGCACAAAATCCACAATGTTTCTCTAGATTTACCCAATTAAGCCATAAAACCAATAAAACACCATTTAAGTTTCATCAGTAATTACCAATATATAGAAAAGTTACAAAACAACATTGATCAAGACAATATTCATTCAAAAATACCTTTCTGAGGGCTAGTTACTTATGAGCAGCTACCATAATTGGATGAAGACTGACTCAAAGAGGGACCATAGGTTGCAGCAGATGAAGGTTGGGCAGACTCACTCGGCAGATTTTTCATTACTCTAGAAGACTTGCTTGACATCTTTCCTTGCATGAAAGTGCTACTAAGTTCAGTAGCTGCTATAAGTAATAGAAAGAACTAATCAGATTGACCAGTATAAGGAATATAAATCTCCAAAACTATTTTTTTTTCTAAATCCTGGCCAGAAACTAATTTTCTTTCAGTAGAGACGACTGTATATGGTTATGCAGAATCCCGACCACCTCCCACTTCATGTTTGATTGTGCCCAAAGTTTCAGGGGGATGAGAAATTGGTTTTTGAATATCAAATTATTCTTCTCACTGCATGAGTCATTAAATCAAAACCTGCGTAGGAAGGAACCCAAAAACTCTAGGACAAATCTACAAGGATCCGATAAGTCATCATCTTAGAATCCACCAACTGGGGCAGCAATACATACTACAATATATGCAAACCATGATATCTCAATTATGGAGAAGTTAAGCAACTTATGACTAACCATGCTATAAAAAAGGCATCTTCAATTATGAATCTAGATCGACTGAAAAATCAACTGCATGAGATGTTATAACAATTGCCAACATAGAATATTTAAATTGACATTAACATACAAGACCTTTTGAACATCTAAAGTTATAACCAATTCAAAGATGAATGAACTGATGGCTAAGAGAGCCAAAAGAAGCCATTTTGGTTATCTATTTAATATCCCTGAGCTAACTAGCAAGTCATGCAAGAAGAAAAGTCCAAGTACAGTAGATCTATATTTAGATGAAGAATACTCTTTTAACACAACAGTGCAGCTAATTGACACCAAGTTCTCTACATAAAGAAAATATTTTTACTTTTTTCTTGGATTATATCCAAATCTAGAATCCAGTCGAGTCCACAATTTTGGTTTTCTTCTAGTTAAGAAGATAACCCACCATCAAATTGAATTCACTTTCCTTTTTTCTATCACGGTGGAAGTCAGATTTTTCAACTGCCAAGAACTGCTTCAATCTTCCTCAAAGTTGCCATACAAGAAACCAATATTTATTAGGGTATTCAATCAAGTTTGACCATTAAAATTGGAAAAGTAATTATTTGAACTCGAATAGTTATATTTTGAGGAAAATCTGGCTAGCCTTATGTTAATGTTTTGGTCACAACCATAAATTCTTCTTTTAACGAACTAATGCTTTTTAAGCAGCTAAAATATTGAACAAAGTTGTACAAAAAAATATTAATACAATCAAGGGAAAGATAAATTATATAAAGCAGCAGCGAGATGCTAATGTCTAACAAATAAGACAGAATTGAAAGAAACAAACAACAAATTTCACCAGTCAACAATGTTATTGTACACACAAATAAAGTGAATCACGTACTGAAAAGAGAAGGGTTAGCGGAAGCAGTTCCAACTTGAACTTTAAGAAGCTCCAAACGACGTTCCAGGGTGTCAAGTTTCTCGTTCAGTGATGCTAATTTGCTCTTCGTTGTAGCCTCTGTAAACAAACAATTAACATTTAAAAAAAGGAAAAAGAAAATGGAGCATGAAAATGAAAAGTCAAGACAAAGGAAAATAAGTAAAGTTTACCGAATTGGAGGAGAAACTCAAAGAGGCGGCGAACATTGAGGGAAATGTGAGAGATAAATTCTCGATTCTCCCAATCTTGTTCATTGCCGGGAAAAAACTCTGTAAAAAATACGAACGAATCAGTTTCCAAATCTACCAAGATCCGATCAGATTCCCTGGAAAACTAAAAACCCTAAATAGATTAACTTAAAAAACAAAAGGGAAACTTACAACCTTAGATGGCTCCAGGATTGAAACCATCACGATTGGCTAGTCTAAAACGCAATTTCCTTCAAATCTAACATAAACCCAGAAGAATTTATTCAAACCCAAGAAATCCCACAAGTTCCCAGTTTAGAAACATTAAAAAATAGCAAATCAAAGTTCTTCCTCAAGGTTCAAACTGATTATGGAGGGGGGAAGCGAAAAGGATGAAAATAATGGGGGAAATTAAAATACGACTCCTAAAGATGACACACAATTAAAACTATACTCTGTGTTTTTGTAAATTTTTTGGATTATGACTATTAAATATGAAACATATTATTGTAAGTCATAAATCGTTCAGATTTTAAAAAACATGACATTTTTTTAATGACACACATGTTTTACAAGTCATAAATTAGCGTGTGTCATCGTTCGTGTGTCATTAAAGGCATATTTTCTTGTAGTGTGTGTTTTTATTTATTATTGCTGCATTGTATGATCATTCATAAGGAAAGGCGTTGGTTCACAGAGTGGCCATCAAAGTAGAAGGCGGTCATAAAATAGACAAGAGTTTTCATAAGAAGGAAATAAAGAATTCGAAAGCGAGGTCATGGTCCGAAGAAAATCAGAGAAAAAGGGTGATAGTTTGACTGAAGACTATATATCAGTACTACCAGAGTCACTCCAGTCATCTGAAGTAAAATATCTGCAGGAGTTACATGAAATCTGGGAGAGTTGGAAATCTGATACGAAGTATTCTTTTGGCAGAAGTATGGTGACATAGCCCTTTCGTTGTATGTGAAGGTGAATGATCCCTTGATCAAAGCTCTGATCTAGTTTTGGAATCCAGCGTATAGTTGTTTCACTTTCAACAAGGAGGACATGACTCCCACATTGGAAGAGTACACGTCCCTATTCCATTTCAAAATGTTACATTTGGATAAGATCTATTCTAAGGCGATAAGAGTGCAACCTCTAAAAAACAAGCTCACAAAGATTACTGGAATGGGGTAGAAATGGGTAGCTGACCGCATCCAAAAGAAAGGGCAATCTGATTGTTTCCCTTGGTCATGCCTTAAAGAGCTTATTGTCAAACATAGTTATATTTAGAAGAACATGGAAATGTTCGTTGTGGGAATTTACGGCTTAGTGATTTTCCCGAAAGTTCTTTGTCATATAGAATCCGCTGTAGTTGATTTGTTCAAGCCTCTGGAAAGGAAAGTAAATCATGTTCCTGCGGTCTTGGCAGAGACATTCCGATCACTTAATACTTGCAAAAGAGCAAAGAGTAGACGCTTCACTGGGTGTGTCCAGTTGCTTACTGTATGGATACGTAGCCACTTCTGGAAGATTGATCGAGAATATAACCATCAGTTCTCAACTACTTATTCACCTTAAAAGATTTCCTCACCAAAGATGGCCTGAGCATCTCACAAGGAAAGATTGGGTTTCACTTTCAGGAATTTACAAGACCATGATATAGTGTGACACATCCCCTGGTTAGCTTTTGTCAATATATTGTAAAAATGTGGGATTCCGATGGGTGACTCTGTTAGGGTTGTGGGGTAGAGTAGGTTATGCTCCACTAATGGTGTTAAGGTAATTTGGGGAATGTCAATTCGTCCCAGCTACTTCAGGTCTGAGTAAATCTGAATTTGTGTACCACGGAGATCACTATAAGAAAACCTTGGTCATATAGTCTCTGCATAAGGCATAAGAGTAGATCCCTAAAAGATTCAAGCCATAGTGTATTGGTAACCCCAAAGAATCTCAGAAGTTGAAGTTTCTTGGGTTGCTAGTTATTATAATGGTTCATGAAATTTCTCAATGCTACCTCTACCGCTAACTAAGTTGTTACGAAAGGATGTGCTTTTTGTTTGGACAAAAAAAAGCTAGGAAAGTTTTGAATTACTAAAGAAAATAGTAACGGAGGCCCCAATGCTTGTACAACCTAAGTCTGGTAAATATTATGTTGTTTTCAGTGATGCATCCCATAATGGGTTGGGATGTGTGTTGATGAAGAAGGGAAAGTGGTGGCTTTTTCCTGAAGACAGCTAAGAATAATGAAAAAATTACCCGACGCATGACTAAGCTCTTAAAAGATTATGATTGGTTATTGACTATCATCCAGGAAAGGCTAATGTGGTAGCCGATGCACTCAGTCGAAAGACTTTTGCAGCTTTAAGGGATTTAGATCCAAGTATGTCTTTAAAGGAAGATGATGCTTTGGTTGCTGAATAAAAGTTGAAGCCGATGTTTTTGGATCGGGTAAAAGAGCTGCAAGGTCGAGATAAGAAATGCTTGATGAGATTGGCGCAAGTTGAAATAAGAGAGGCCAAATATTTTGAAATGAGGGACAATGGATTTTATTACCGTGAAAAACTTTGTATTCCTGGTAATGATGAATTGAAGAAAGGTATTCTGTATGAGGAACATTATACCCTTTGACGATGCATCCAGGCGGGAATAAGATGTATCATAACTTGAAGAGTCGTTATGGCTTGGTATGAAAAGAGCTGTAACAGAGTTTGTTACAAAATTTAGCATGTAAGCAAGTGAAATCTGAACATCAAGTGCCTTTTGGATTTTTATAACCGATAACCATTTCTGAGTGGAAGTGGGACCGAGTAACTATGGATTTTGTTTCAAGGCTACCTTTGTCACCAGGTAAAAAGGACTCAATATGGGTAATAGTGAACAGATTGACCAAGATGTCTCATTTTATTTTAGTTCGAGTACACTACCCGATGGATAAGTATGCGGAGTTGTATATAAAAATAATTAGATTGCATGCAGTACCTATCGATAATATCCAATTGAGACCCAATGTTTACTTCAAGATTCTAGAAATCTTGCATGAGGCATTGGGTACTAGATTGAACTTCAGCATAACTTTTATTCACACAGATGGGTAGTCAGAACGAGTTATACAGATACTAGAGGATATATTAAGGGTTTGTGTGATGAAATTTAAAGGATCATGGGAAAAGTATTTGCCTTTAGAGGAATTTGCGTATTACAATAGTTACCAATCGAGTATTAAATGGCCCGTATAAAGCATTGTATGGGAGGAAGTGCAGAACTCCATTAAATTGGTTTGAACTAAAAGATTGAGACCTGGTTGGCCTAGATTTGATGAAAGATATAGAAGAAAAAGTGAAAATTATCCAGAGTAATTTAAAGATTGCCTCATATCTCCAGAAGTCATATGCATATTTGAAAATAAAGGAAATCAAATTTCAAGAGGGAGACAAAGTATTTTTGAAGGTATCGTCTTAGAAGAAGGTATTACGTTTTGGGAGTAAAGAAAAGCCGAGTCTGAGATTCATTGGACCTTATAAGATCTTACAAAGGGTCGGACCATTAGCTTATCAGTTAACTTTTCCTCTGGATATGGATAAGATCCACAATGTTTTTCACACATCGATACTTAGGAGATACAGATCTGATCTATCACATGTTATCATTCCTGAAGAAATAGAGATCTAACCAGATTTAACTTATGAGGAGGAACCAATGCGGATATTAGCTAAGGAACCCAAGGAATTGCGTAACAGAAGGATTCCATTGGTTAAAGTGCTTTGGAAGAATCATAAGTTAGAAGAAGCTACTTGCCAAAGAGAAGAGGATATGATGAAATAGTTTCCACACCTCTTTGTTTTAAGTACTTCTTTAAATTCGAGGATGAAATTTCTTAAGGGGGAGATTTTTAATGCCCCATATATCAAATTAGGTAATTTATTGAAATGATTTAAATATTTGAGGATTTATTTGATTAAATTTTAAAATATGAGAATGGTTTGAATTAGTGATTTAGATTAAATTATAGCAATGGATGATTGAGAGGGTTTTGGTTATTTTAGGTGGAAAAAGAATTAAATTTCATTTTAATAAGGTATTAAAGTAAAGTGGGGAAAGCGAAAAATAGGTTACCTAAAGTCGTCTCTCTTTACTTCTTCTTTCCCAGTGGAAAAAGCTCTCCTACATAGTAAATGTAAGATTTTATTTGGTTAGTGTTTCCTTTCGATTCTGGTTGGTTCTTCCAAACTTAAGTGATATGTAAGCTTAAGGAAATGTTATATAAGATTAAAATTAGGGGATAGAGGAAATATTGGAGATTTAAGAAAATGGGTTTTGAAATGATATGTTAAGATATGAGTGTTTATTGATGTTTATAAGTAGATTTGACTTGTCAAGAGGTAAATGAGAGATTAGAAGCATTGGATGGGTTTAAAAACAAGTTAGAAAAAGTGGTGTGATTCTAGTTTGAAATTTTCTTGGGAGATGTTAAGTGTTTTAAGATGCTAAATGAAGGGAATTTAGTAGGATAAGTAAAGAAGAGTTTAATGACATTGTTGGGTGTAAGCATAAGGAAATTTAACCAAATTTGGGCAAGAATCGGCTGAAAAATAGAAAATTAGTAAGGGTATCGGTACTGATAGAACAATATTGATACAATAAGCTTGAATTTGAAAGATCAACTGTGAAGTATGGATACTGATGCTAGCAGTATCGATACCGAAAGAGGAGTATCGATATTATGAGGAAGATATCGATACCATTGATTACAAATGCAAAACTGGTATCGATACCGTAATAGAGTATCGGTACCATAGTACAGTATATCGATACCATGACAGGGGTACCGATACTATTGAGCCAGAAG